CTGAGCCCCGGGCGCGCGCGCACTACCTGCTCTCTCCCCGTTCCCCGCTCCCCTCTCTTTCTCCATCACCTCAATTTTCATCAGACTTTTTCCCTGCCTGGAATTTCACTGGAACATTCCCAGACCTCACCGTCCTCTCTCCTACCCCCTACCACCTCTACGCACTGGTCCACCGGCCCGCCCTGCCCCCCACCAGTATTGGTGTTCAATGGCTCCCAAGTCTCCTTACTTCCTCTTCCCTTGTAAATATAACCAGGTGTGAGGTTCCCATCAGTCCCTGCACCAGTGGACACAAGGGAAGACAAGTGTCTTCCTATTTGAACGCCTCTCCATTCCCTGGGGAGACTCAGTCGCACCCCTGGAGCCAGACCCCTTTCCCACCTCTAAGGCTTTTCACCACTACCCTCCCGGATATCTATTTTATGAGTGTCCCCGCAACCCTTCTTGCTGAATCTGGGAAGTCTGACCCTCAGTAGCTGGCATTTTACAGGAATTTCTAGCCCCGTGATTTCCCATTCTTTGCATTTAAGAGAATGGAGGAGTAGACTATGTGTTGCCTGCAAGTCCTAGGCCAAGGATGGGCAGGTCTGGAGTCCCTTCCCCATTGGGGCTGTGGGCCAGCCTCTACCCACAATGCAGCCTGCCACCCATTAGGCTTGGTTACCTAAAAAGGGGGGTGGGGGTAGCAGGAAGGGCAAAAATCAAAGGAAAACTGGATTGCATCTTCATTTGCAGTGAATCAAGGCTTCTGGAGTTTGCTTTGGGGATTCCAGGCCCCAAATCCTTGGCTGCAGACTGCTCTCCTCAGCCTGGGAGAGACAGTCGTTAAGTTCTGGAAGATCCCAGAGTGAACCAATGACCGCCTGGACCTGGTTTCACTTTTCCTTTGCACGATGGTGTGGCAGCTCATGTGGCAGCCCCAGACTTGCCCCGAGCCCCAAGGAGCCACCGATGGGTTCCCACATAATCCTGCCACTTTTCCTCACTTCCTCATCTTGGTGGATGAGCCCAATCAACGCAGGAGGTTATGCTGACAGGACATCACGACCCATGAAGACACAGGGTCCGCTCGCACTATTGTGCTTGTCTTTGTTCTTCTTCTTTGTTTTTACTTGAGTGTGCTTTTCTTGATTGTGAGAGACCACCGGTTGCCGCTGGTTTGTGGCAGGCGTGTGCTGAACAAGTCTGTGGGCGCTGTTTTACCTTTGGCCGGTGCGCCACATTTGGGGAATTCTCACAACTGCTCCAACTTTTTCATAATACGTCTGCATGCTTAATAGACTACAGCGTAGTGTAATGGAACGTTGAGATGCTCTCAGACTAAACTCACTGCCAGCAAATCAATGCTGCCTCACAGTGACCCAGTAGGACGGGGTAGAACTGCCCCCTGTGGGTTTCTGAGACTCTTAACTCTTTGTGGGAGTAGAAAGCCCTTTCTCCGGAAGAGCGGCTGGTGATTGAGGACTGCTGACCTTGCGGTACACAGCCCAATGGGTAACCACTACACCACAGAGATCCTTTAGGAAGTCCCGCTGCGCCCCGCCCCCCAAAATTGTGTTGTAAACGTTTTATTGTGGTGGTCTGGAACTAAAGTCGCAATATCTCTGAAGTATACCTGTACAGACTTCGCCTCACCGACTTCACCATGGGATTGGAATATTTACCGGAGAACCTCTCTCTCTGGTTATAGATATATATACCCCAAATAAAACAAACTCGCTCTCATCGAGTGGGTTCCTATTGAAAGGGACGCTGTAGGGCAGGGTTAAACTGCCCTTGTGTGTTCCTGAGACTGTAATTCTTAAATTTTGTTTTAATTTCAATAATTTGGTGGGGGGGCTCATACAGCTCTTATCACAATCCATCCATCCATACATTGTGTCAAGTACATTCGTACATTTGTTGCCATCGTCATTTTCAAAACATTTCTTTCTACTTGAGCCCTTGTTATCAGTTCATTTTCCCTTTTCCTCCCCAACCCTCCTTCCCCAGGAACCCTTGATAATTTATAAATTATTATTTTGTCATGTTTTACACACACCGATGTTTCCCTTCACCCACTTTTCTGTTGTCCATCCCCCTGGGAGGGGGGTTATATGTAGGTCATCGTGATCGGTTCCCCCTTTCTCCCCCCACCTTCCCCTTCCCCTCCTGGTATGGCTACTCTCAATATTGGTCCTGAGGAGTTTATCTGTCCTG